CCTCTCACCATCTCTTGCCTCCTCTTTGCCCGCTACCAATCTCTGTCTCTCTATTTTCCTCCTCAACGCGGCTGAGAGGCAAGTGCCAATTCTTCCGAGTAATTTGCGAGCTGGGCGGATGATGGGATTGGTGGATTGCGGCACCTGGCGCTGTTTTGCATTGTCAGCCAAATAATCTGTGATTTATCACTCCAGAGATGAGCAGAGAGTGGAGGAAACACAGAACAGAAAGAGTGGAATTAAAGTGAGAAAAAAGAACAAAAATCTGACAGGGAAAGCAGCATTCTGCTGGAAGAAGAAATGAAGCGGAAAAGAGCAGCCGAGATCAACACAATGCATGATATTTTAATTGAGTTAATTAAGTATTGAATACACATATATAAATAAAAGTTCTAAAATTTTTATTTATTTATTGTTTTTAGGTTCAGGAAGATTACTTCTTCATAAACTGTTTAATTGCTTTATTTCCTTTAAGAGTAGCATTTTTTTTATTTTTTTTTTACTAAAGAAATATTAATTCTTCCATTTTTACTGTAACCCATAATGTTGTCTAGTTGATTATAAAGTAATGCTTTTGATTTAAATAAAATCATTAATTTCAAGAAGAATTTAAAAAAAAATTTTTTTAGGTTTATGTTTTCTTTTTTTATTAGGTTTATTCTTAAGTATTGTCGTTCTATTTGTGCTAGAAGAAGTCCATGTAAGAAGTCCACTCCAAATTTAAGGTCCTGAAGGTCCAAATGGGTCAAACACGACTCATTTTATAGAGGTATTAGAAAACCTCCAATTGTTTTTTGGGTTGTTTGCCTCTCTTGTCGAGACATAATTTTCTCTTTATAGTGCTCTTCTCCACAAAGAAACACTGGCCTCTCTCTCTCTCTCTCTCTCTCTCTCTCTCTCATTGCCCAGTCTCCTCTCCTCCTCTCTTTAAAATAGAGACAGAGATTAAATCGATTTTTCAGTGTCATCAAACCCATGGCTCAGCTCTTTGGCTTTGACGAAGGGAAGTGTTTATACAGGTTTGTTCCGAAGTCATGAAATAATACGCCATCAGCTGCAAGATGGAAGGAAAGGGGAAATGAAAGAGAAAAAATATATAAGATGGGCATAAGATGGACACGAGCGCGAGTTCGCGGGCGAATTTAATAACGCGGAGCGTTGTTTAACCAATTGATCCATATATAAGGCGCTCCGGATTATAAGGCTCACTGTCGTTTTTTGAGAAAATTAAAGACTTTTAAGTGCGCCTTATAGTGCGGAAAATATGGTATATGTTTTATGTGACAAAATGCTAATGGAGGTTAAAAACATCTGAAAAGAAATACAAAAAGGACTAACACCTCCTAATTAAATAATTTGTTGTTGTGTATAGTTCTTTTGAAATTGTTTTCATCCAAACAACATTATATAAATATACTTAATTTTTACCATGAATATAGCCATACAAGCTGCCTTGTTGTGTAAAAGAAATCGTTGCCATGCATTACAATAATTTATTTATTAAAAGTTGATTGTTACGTGACTGCACATTAAATTATTACTGCCTCACATCAATCGGTTTGTCGACGAATGATGCTGATTGCAGACCCTCTTACATGTATGGTTCATCACCCGAGTTTGAAGCAAACTGCTTAAACCCATATAGCTTACAAAATATAAATAATATTTACAGAGCTGACTATGGACAAATGAGGCGAAGAACTGAAGAAGACTATGTTTTTTTTAAACATAATAAAATTGAACAATGTAAAATAACTTTAGTTATATAAGAAATAAAATAAGATATAATGTTTAAAACAAAATGTGCTGTACATAGTTTTAAAGGAGGATTTTATTTTTCGTAAAACCGAGTTAAACATAAATTGTAACCATTGATCTCTAAGCACAGCGTCCCTGGGAAGGCCAAACAAAGGTGAATTGACTCCAGCATGAAAATAACAGCGTCTCGACGGCATGGTGACAAAAACACTCTACAAACGATACACTCCCTCTTCTCCGTGGGAGCTCAACAAGACCACGCCCCCTTTTTTGCGTATTCTGTGGGCGGAGATTAGTAAAAAAAACTGTTCTAATTACGTCATTAAAAAAGGAAGGATGTAGTCCAAACTGGACGATTGCGAGTATAGCTTTGGATTGCGAGTATTGTTTTTTTTCCAGTAGTATTTCTCTGGTGTTTCAATAAATGCAAATGTCGAATATGCTGCTTATTTGTAACTTTGGTGGAAAAGTGTGACGCTGTGTCCCAGCTTCCAGAATGTTTTTCTCATGTCGTGTTTTTGATGTTCTGATATGGCCACATGGCACTTTAGCTGCTATTTTCCCGTGTCATTAGCCTTGCAGTCCTCAGACCTGACAGTCATTTCTGCTGCAGGGAATGACAGGGTGGCGGCTCATAGAGCAACACTGGAGATGATCAGAAAGATAGGTGGATTGAAAAAGGTGCAAATTGCAAGAACAGAGATGGAAGCAAAGGTGGAGAAATTGAGCGTAGCATCTTTGCAGGGAATTCTGGGTAATTGCTCTTTCAAGAGTCACACATATACACAAAAACTTTAGGGCTTCTAGAAGGTGCCTTTTATCAACTGTTGTTTTCTGTGTTTGTGTGGCAGAACATTTCACCCTATATAAAAACATCCACAGCATGGGAACTGTTATACATCCTCTGCAGGGCTTGTGTGTGTGGATAGGTGTGGGTGTGTAAAAGAGACACTTTATTAAGTGAAAAATGAAATGACATTTTTATCTCGTTTTCCTTCTAATTGCTTGCGTTGAATGAATCATAGTAAATTTTAGTTTGTTTTGCTTTTAAAAGCATCTTCGTTTAAAGAGACACTCCACCCATTTGCATTAAGCTTTCCATTGTTAGAAACCCAGTTATACTATTGAATGGTCATGCAACACTCTCTCGTTTTCCCCTGAGACGAGAGAAATCTGCTATTTACCTTTTTCACTTAAAGCTAAGCTAGCAGGCTCTTGTTCTGTGGATAAAGCCGAGTAGTAACTTTAGGGGTTACCGTCCTCTTTTTCCACGGACATGTCCGGCTGTCGATGTCCAGGATTCAGCTTTTGCTTTCTGCAGTCGCCATGCATTGTTTACATGCACAGCTTTTGTTTCAATCTAACTGAATTCATTCTGATTGGTGAATGTGAATGTAGTGTTTACATGAATGCTAAAAAAGTGATCGGTTGATGTGCGTTTTAACATTGCTAAGAAAATTCCCGCTCCTCCGTGAGAGATACGAGACCGGTAACATACGTCTCACAGGTTTCGCTCATAATCACGCCACCGGCCTTGCGTCGTTCTCCACACGGCCCTAGCCTCGCCCTGCTCGCCAAAGTAAACATGATGAATGGCGACTGTAGAACGCAAAAGCTGAATCCCGGACATTTTGGGAGATCTTGAAACACATTTTCTGATTTTCTTTCACATTTTTTCACATTTAGTGATTACACCATCAGACGAGATCCGAGATCCGTTTTTCAGGTATATATCAGGTTTCATACAAGTTAATTTGATTCTTTAGGGTCTAAATGAAAAGTTTGTAATATACTTTAATTAAAAATTCTCATTAGTATTGTAAGAAAGCACTAATTTTACCTGGTCAAAAACAGCTCTGTTTTCAGCACGCCGTTTCAGTGCATATGCCTTTAAATGATAATGAGCTTCGCTCACTTCACCCCTCTGTTCTGCGGGCGTTTAGACACAACGCACGTGGAGTGTTGCCTTGACAACAGTTGAGGGTATATTTTGGAGAGAGAATGGCAGCGAGAGTCTCATCTGTGCAAATGTATCAGTTTAAACTGGAGTCAGACCCGGAACAAGATGACGGCTTTATACTGATCCTCGTTTATAAAGCAGTCTGGTGAGAAATTATTCGCGCAAACATGAAATCATTGACATTGCTCGTGGGGAATATTCCCTTCGACAACAAAACTCAGCCACTGTGTCTTCAGCATTTCGGATTTCGGAACATCAAAATGACTGTGTTCATTATCACACCCATAACAGAACACCACAATCGCTTAGATGCCATTCTGCTCCAGTCTAATAACAAAGGCGGACTATGATGACAGCTCGCCCCGGGGCAGGGATGTGTTGAAACACAGATGTCAATCAACAATGGAGGGAGGGGCGTCCTACCGTTTGACGTCACACGGAGGAACGGCTCAATTTGAGACAGGGAAAACATATAAGGAGATTAAAACAAAAACACTGGATAGACTTTTATCATTATATGATGGTTGTGTACAGGCACTGCCAACACATATTTCAGTACAATCAATTTGAAAAAGTGCATGTACCATTATATGATCCCTTTAAAAAATTGTATTCTCCAGCTTTTTCTCTGTCATTGTCCTTGTTAGGTGATCATTAAGGTCATTAAGGAACATGTTTATGAAATAAAATCACTCAACAGACCACACAAGCTTGAGCCACACATGACACACATGCACATTCATTTTAGATTTCATCATGCCCCCGTGGTGACCCTGAGCTGTTACAGTGAGATGTGACTGCTTCACACTGGTTGAGCTTGTGTGTGTGTGTGTGTGTGTGTGTGTGTGTGTGTGTGTGTGTGTGTGTGTGTGTGTGTGTGTGTGTGTGTGTGTGTGTGTGATTTACCGGTAGGGAAATTATAGTGCTTTGTTCGCCATGACAACATGACACACACAGCCCATCAAAGTGTCATAAACGTCCAGTGGGTACAGACCACCACTAATCATGACAGAGAGAGTAAAGAGGGCAAAATATATAGAAAAGATTAGAAAAAAATAAGTCTATATAACAAAAGAAGAAGAAGAGTGAAAAGACAATAAGACTAACAGGGAGACACTCACTTGTCTGTTTTCCTAGTTTTCCCATAATTATGTGATTATGTGGTGGGAGGAAAATATGGGAGGAAAATATAGCAAATGCCACAGCCATTACAAAATCAGCAAAACACTCACAACTGTACCATCCACCACTACTTCTCTTTTCTGTTTCTCTCGCACTGCAGGTATCTGTTGGTTGTGATGAGGTGTTGGTGAATGGGAAAGAGATGAGGGGGCGTGTCTCGCTTCAAGTGAACTTTACCTACCTCTATTTGACCAGCCAATTAGAGCTCACAGTTTGGGTGCCACGGTTACCCCTCCAGATTGACGTCTCTGATGCCGAACTCAGCCAAGTCAAAGGATGGAGGGTGCCCATCATCACCAACAAGAGGTGCGTGTGTGTGAGGCAGTGAAAGGTATATTTATATACACTGAATGTGTGTGTGAGAAGACATCTGAGGAGAAGGGCACACTGTTTTTAGCTACAGAGATCCTGCACCATCCCTTTTATTTTCATGGTATTTGCTGTCTGTTTGTGTGTGGATATATGTCTATTTTTTTTCACAGCCCAATTCTGCTTATTGGCCTTCAGTCTGTCTGCTGGGCCTATTTTTCAATTTGGCCAATTTCTGTCTATCTGCCTGTAACAACAAAACCACTGTTACCACCAGGAACCACACATGCGCACACATGCACAAACTTACACCCCACGCAATGCTTCCCCCTGGGTGAACTGGAAATTTGAAGTAATCACAGTTTCAGAGAGAGAAAGAAAATAGGAGGAAGGAAAAGACGAGGCAAGGGGAAAAAACAACAGAGAAAAAAACAGACATTGAAATAATAATAAAAAGAAAAGAAAAGAAAATTGGATAATTGCTGGAAATTATTTTCCTCAGTTCTGATCATTCAGGTAACCAGCTGCATCTTTTCCACACAGTGTTTTCTTTAGTGGCATGTTTTAATATGCAAAAATCAAACTGAGATGTGAGATTTAGTAAATAATGATTTAAATTACTTCACACAGAGCTGGAATATAGTGTACTGGCAGTTTGGATACTAATTTGGTAATTTTGTGTTGATTTTTTATTTATTCTAATTTTTGGAGCTTGACAACCCCTATTCACTTTTACTTTAAAGGAACACGCTGGCTTTTGGGGACTTTGCCCATGTAACAGTGCTTTGCCTTCTGAGAATATAGTTCCCAGTATGCATATGGTTAGAAGATGTGACCTTGTTGTTTGTCCATGCTGTGACTATACAAATCACAACATGTAAATAGGCCAATATCGGCATTATTTTGTCACTTATTAACCCCTAGTTGCTCCAGAGGCATGCGGCCTCTGACATGTATAGCAATTGTAAGTCGCTTTGGATAAAAGCGTCAGCTAAATGAATAAATGGAATGTAAATGTAGTAGGCTAGTTGGAGCCGTTTACCTCTAGTATTTGTGCTAAGCTAGGCTAGCGGTGGGTGCGTCAGACAGAGTTACGGCACGCACGGAGATGAGAAGTGTATGTATGGACTTATCTAACTTTGGGGGATATTGTGAATAAGCTGAAGTCCCAAAAAGTCGGTGTGTTCCTTTAAGGAAAAGTCCTGCATGGCCAATCTGATTTATATCTTTTTTCTGAGTTTCATGTAAGAAAGTAAGTCATACAGGTTTGGAACAACATGAAAGTGAGGCATGATGCGTGAACTATCCTTTTATTGAAAAGATTTATGGATAATTTATTAAAGTTGTTTTTTTATTATTCTAACAATGTCATTTCTAAAGCTCGACTCAAAGTCAACCCATTTGTGTTGTGTTTATTGAATGTTATGATTGTACATGGTGGCATATCAATAACAATGTTTCTACCCTTGTACTTCAGGGCTTCATTACATAGCCAGACTCATGTCACCACTTCATAGTCAATACAATTGTAATTCTGATTTCTAAACATGTAGATTTTAAATTTCTTATCTTATCTGCTTTCCGTGTTGCCCAGGCCGACCCGGGACAGTGAGGACGATGAGGAGGATGAGAGGAAGGGCAAAGGCTGTGCCCTGCAGTATCAGTATGCTCTGGTACGTGTTCTCACACACTTCGTGGCCGAGCCAGCTGACCCTGGTGGGGAGCTTGTGCACATGCTGGGTTCTGATTGGTCTGCTGACATCACAGAGATGGTCCTGGACTTCCTAAAAGTGGAAGATACACGCACTGCTCGACTAATTGATGGAAGGGTGCTGGTGGGAAGAGACCTGGGAATGACCACTATACAGGTATCTTTCCTTGCAAGTGGGACTCTGTAGGGCCGACCTGATGGCATTATCTGAAAGGATTGGTTAAGGGGTGGGTGGGATCCTGTGTGATTGTAGTGGCTTTCCTCTATACTTACCATGTATGAAGTTCTGTTAAGGGAGTTTGAGGGGAGCCCCTTACTGGCTTGATTTATTATTTGTGCAAGTTTGGTTTTGTGCTTGACGGTGATGGCATTATACCAGTCTGAGATATTGAAAGTGAGTATAGATTCAATGAGTGACCGGTAGACTCTTAGTTAAAATGTCCTTTCTTACACTAAAATCTAAAACTAAAAGTTTCCTCAGCAGGTGTAAGCTGTGTTCTTATATACAGTATCTGCGTGCTGTGAAAAAAGACAGAGATATGTCCATCTCTGTCCCAAGGTATTTAAAAACATGGACTTGTTCAACTGGCTGACCATTGATGCTGATGGGTTCTACATCTCTATTTATATATTTGGCACATTAGTACAGTATATGTGAAGAGTTCAGATGCAAAAGCCTCTAAGTGCCATTTGAAATTTTCTTCAATCAAGCTTGTATATTTAAGTTCAGTAATTTCACTTAAATGGCAATGAAGATTACCTATTAATTGTCATTTAAGTGAAATTATTGAACTTAAATATACAAGCTTGATAAAAATGGTCATTTTAGAAGAAAATTTCAAATGGCATTTAGAGGCTTTTGCATCTGAACTCTTCATGTGGTCCCAGGGAATCAAACCCATGCCTTATTTATTCATGGTCAGTTAGTTTTACTGTATCTGCTTGGTGAGCAGCTCAGTTTTTAAATAAATTCAGCTTACATTATTTACTGTTGACAAATAAATAAAGAACCTGAGAGATAGTAACACCTCCCTTGTCAAACACACTGGATATATTCACCCCTCATTGCAAAGATGTTATTGCATGTGAGTGATAACAAGCTTGTTTGCCTACAGGTGTTAAAATCTCAGCTGTGTTGAATGCTCAATCCAGATTCAAGTGTTCTGTTGGCTAAGAGTCCCCTGTGTGTTTATGTTCATTTTCTCTCCATGTGTGTTTTCATGTCTGTCAGTCTCCATTTGCAATATATATTGTTTCACATTATTGCGCCGCAAGTCTTTGTTATGACACCTTGACATAAACCAATACATCATAACCTGTCAGTGGCTTTGTTATGTCAGGGTTATGAAGGTGTCATGTCAGTCTTATGCACACCCCTTCAAGTAAAGTGTTACCAAATTCTCTCTGTTCTTTTTTTCATGTTGTCTCTCTCCCTATCGTTTATGCTTTCGCCACCCCTTTGATTTCCTGCCATTTTTGTTATTTCTTCCTTTACTCCCCTCAGCTCGGGAATCCTCATGGTGTCAGTTATGTCCACGCTAACAGAATATGATGCTTGACGATTACATGTTGAGTCTGAGAGCTCTTTGTAGACCTGCCATACTGCCTGTCTGTCATAGTAAACCAATTGCAAAGAGTCAGTTTTTTATTGGCTCTTCTTTGCTTTACATTTGTAAGAATGGGACATATTATATAATCGAAACTGGGACAGGAAAGGGTTTTCAAATAATTAAATTGCATACAAAGAGATGATAGATAGATAGATAGATAGATAGATAGATAGATAGATAGATAGATAGATAGATAGATAGATAGATAGATAGATAGATAGATAGATAGATAGATAGATAGATAGATAGATAGATAGATGTCTGTTAATCTGTCTGAGAATGGGATCATTGGTGCCTCCATTTTTATTTATTTCCCAGGTAATATCCCCTTTGTCTGACTCCATTCTGGCTGAGAAGACCATCACAGTGCAGGATGATAAAGTCACCATCACTGATCTGGGAGTTCAGCTGGTGGGCTCTTTGAGTCTCTCACTGCAGCCCAGCTCCACCAACAACAGAGCCTTCTACATCACAACCACTGCTCAGGACCTGTTGCGCACACCCAAACAGGTGAGAGCCACGAGAAGTGACCACCAGAATAATTCATTTTACAACCATAAACTACTTAGCATGGAAATCCAGACCCAAATCCCCAGACTCTGTCTACGAACTAAAGCAAAGTAGCATTTGATCTTGATCTAGTAGAGTTTGATCTTACCAGGTTAGACAACATGAGGCTTGGAGAACAAACTAGAACTGCCGCTCAGAAAGACAATTGCATTCTTTTTAGGCTGACGTGTTGGAAAACATTTGTTAGGCTCTACATCAGAAATAGGCACTAATAATGTGACACTTCAGAATACATATGAAGAGTTCAGATGCAAAAGCCTCTAAATGCCATTTGAAATTTTCTTCTTTAATTATGATTTTTATCAAACTTGTATATTTAAGTTCAGTAATTTCACTTAAATAACAATTAATAGGTAATTATCATTGCCATTTAAGTGAAATCACTGAACTTAACAGTGTTGGGGAAGCTACTCTGAAACTGTAGTTTGACAAGCTACAAGCTACTCGTACGTTAAAGTAGTTAAACTACAGTCAAGCTACCGTTTTGGAAAAGTAGTTAGCTACACTACAAGTTACTATCAAAAAGTAGCTAGCTACATTGAAACTACTTTTACTTTTTGAACAACATATTATAAATATTATATTACCTATTATTATTATAAGATGTTATAAATTATATATTATAAATAACTGAATATGTGTCTGATGAATGTAATTCAAATATTTAGTGTTTAAAACAATGCAATACAATTATGATTTCAAAGAGTATTGTTTTATTACACACAACACTCAAATATCTCAGACTGTTTGTCAAAAGTGCAAAATTGCAACAAATAGCCTATAACATTGCAAGAACGAAATATACATTCAACGTAAATTGCATTTAGAACATTTTCTCAAAAATAACGATTGAACTTGGACAAATAAGACCATGGGTAATTAACGTTTGTTTCTCCATCCTCAAAATCTGCCGTCACCCTAATATGGGTGTGTCACTGTCAACCCACTTATTTACGTCAGTGAACCGTTAGCCGCAAGATGCGTGATTGAACAACAGGTGGCGGTAATGGCAAAAAATGAGTTTGTAATCTAACAAGATGAAGAATATCGTTGCATCGGGCTGATTCGCGCAGGCTCGACAAACACAATGGCTTGACAATGTAGCAATGTAGCTTTTGCTCGCGCTACACCGCTACTTGCTGCAAAAAGTAGTTAGCTACTGGAAAAGCTACACTGTTTAAAAAGCAACTGAGCTACTGCCAAGCTACTGAAAAATGTAGTTAAGTTAGTAGCTTCGCTACTTGTAGTTAACTACTCCCCAACACTGGAACTTAAATATACAAGCTTGATAAAAATGATCATTCTAGAAGAAGATTTCCATTGGCACTTAGAGGCTTTTGCATCTGAACTCTTCATATTCAGTCATTTTTTAAAGGGTATGTGGCTAAGGAGAGTGTTTAAGAAATAGTCAGGTAAAGGAACAACTTTGGAAAAAAACAGACTCCTTCTTACTTGCATACTTTCCTGACCATGCAACATTTTAAACGAGTCATTGTAAAGCACACCTATCAACCGTCCACAGTTTGCCCTGCCAACAGTATAGATACCATGGCAGAAATAATCCACTATGCAAACACATCCCGCAGAATACCATCTGTTTGCTCTATTAACCCATGGCCCCTCAATTGATGCACCGGTGTTCATGTTGGCCTTGTTATAACTGAGAAGTGAAAAGCTCTAATATTCTACTTCCTCCTGTGCTGTTTGGAATCATCTGATTAAAGTATTTAAAATAGCGGCTCTGCTAAAAACCGAAATGCATTCCCTGGCTTCTGCCAGAGTTTTCCCACGCACAAGGCCCAAGGTTAACTATGAGTGAATGAGAGTGGGTGGGAAAACACTCCAAGAGTCTCATTTGGAGTTGTTAGAAATTATGGATATTAAGAAAAACACTTTTTGTCTCATTTGAAGAAGCTGCCAAAATCAAGGTGGCCACATATCTGGAGGGTTTTTTTTAACACTATTTCTGACACTAGCGTAGTTGATCTGCAGTTTGGGTTTCAAGCATTTGTGATTAACTCCACACACTCTACAGCCTGTATAATTATACAAATCCTATAATTACTTCTCCCTTTCCTTGCATAGTACTTGATATTTCTTAAAAATATGTCTATATGTTTAGATAAGCTAAAGTTAATTTGCAAAGTTTGCAAGTTCTGCTACAGATATTTTTGTTTTCACTTGATTTGAAAACTTCACTCAAACATGAAAATGGCGTCATTGTTTACATTGTCAGTTTGAACAGTATGACTATTTCTTCTGTGGATTTTTTTTAATAATAAACATGTTTTTTTGGATACATTGAAAGCATACAAGGTTTTAATGTTCTACATGCACAAATAAAGTCATACAGGTTTCTAACAACATGGGTGAGGAAACCATGACAGAACTATCCCTTTAAAGCAACTCTTTTCAGAATCATAAAACTGTTGAGTTATGTTTCCCTGTAGTTGATGGAAAGGAATGATGTGAAACAATATTTGTTTCAGCGGGGAGTTAGTCCAGAAGATGATGTGCCACCTTGAATTTGATGCTGTAACCAAAAAAAAATTGTATGCAGCTCCAATCTGTACTCGTAATGTAGTCTTTTTACTGCAGGACTTCCTGTTGGGCATGCACTTTCACCTCACAGTCAGGTGAAGAGGATGTTTATTGTTTTCAGCACTCCAACTTAATTGCCTGTTCTTTTTTATTTGTTGTATGAATGACTGAGCCTTTTAAAGGTAAATCTTAACTTGTAGTGCTCCTGCATTTATCATGGATGCCCAGAGCCGTATAATTGGGTGCTACGAATGTCTATCAAATGCGCCTGTACGTGGCAAAAAGCCAATCGGTTCAATGATACCAGATGACATATGTAGAGGGACAGAAGATTAGACGATGAAGACGGCGATGGGTCAGAGATTTAGGATGTTTAGTAGATGAAAACATGTTTCTCAATGTCAAGGAATCAAGGATACTTCCTTGGCAGGACGGGTCCTTCCAAGTCATTTCCTTCAGAGGCTAGACGAGGCTCCTCTTTAGCATTCGGAGAACACGTAAATGGAACAGGCTAGCAAGTGCACGTCATTGCATTATTGCATTAGTGAAAGATCCACTTTGGGTGCTGCAAAAATGGTAGTGCTACTGGTTTGGTTGCTGTATCGCACTGCTTGACAGTCCTTATTTTGTCTTGTCAGCCCTCATAGAAATAAATTAATAAAAGTAAGGGATAATGTATAGCGAGACGGTTGTTATAGCTAATACAACCCCGCAAACTCTAATGCGAAACGGAGGGGTCTTGAATCAGCCTGAAGGGGTTGTATTCACTGTAACAACTGCCTGGCTATACATTTTACCACTTATAACATGTCTACCTAACAAATAAATCAATATTTTGACACAAAATATTGATTTAAAAAGGAGTGTATTCATCTAAAAACGATTATATTACCGGAGTGAGTAACTGCGTCCATAGCAACACAATCTAGCTGTTAAAACACATGAATTGGTAAAATATATGTTCAATGAAAAGGCTAATGTTATACAAAGTAAAAATTTAAAAAAGTGAATCACCAGTGAAAGAGAACAGCTTTAAATCCCTCCTCTGCAAATCAGTTAAGCCGATATGTTTAATGTCAAACATTAGGCTGTATACAAAGGTAACTTTGCGTCCGTTGCCATGGTCCATAGATAAACAAACTGCATAAAATCGCGCTGCAGCAAGGCAACATGGGGAAACCCTGGCTACAACTTTTACAGTAAGTCATTTGGTTTTCTTGTGAAAGGGATAGCCAAAATGAAAATTCAGTCATGATATTCCATCCAATTTCTATGAATGGCTTCAAGTGGCTTTAAAAAGGGTGCAAAACTCTGTAAAAGTCCATATAACTCACGCACTATATAGACTTTGGTCTAAGAACTTTCAACAGTTCAACTTGGATCAACCAATTCAATGAAAACATGAATCATTCAAAAAAGAGCGATCAGTACAATTCTCTAATAATTTTCATCTTGTGTTTGACAAAAATGAGTTTGAAACAGCATTGTAGTTAGTAAATAATGTCGGAATTTATATTTTTGGAAAACTTGTCCTTTAAACCAGGTTTCTGTTTCTCTCCACCTCTCTTTTTTTATTATAGGAGGCTATCATCAGTGCATGGATTCAGTACAGTGATGGCTCTGTGACCCCTCTTGAGATCTATGACCCCAAAGACTTTACTCTAACCATCACCTCACTGGATGAGAGCGTGGTCTCCACCTCTCAGGAGCAATCCCAGCGCTGGCCTGTGGTAGTGGCTGAAGGCGAGGGCCAAGGGGCGCTGGTGCGTGTGGAGATGATGATCTCAGAAACCTGCCAGAAATCCAAGAGGAAGAGCATTTTGGCAATGGGCATAGGAAGCGTACAGGTGAAGTTCGGACAGAACGACCTGGAGCAGAGGAGTGGAACTCAAGAGGAGAACAGTCTGGACAACAGCACAAATGAACAGAGACATAAGGTACTAGAACAGGATAAAACAAGCGGAGGAGATGGCTGGAAATACACAAACACTGCGGTAGAACGGGAAGAGTCAGTCCTGAAGAAAGTCACAACCCCAAAGACTACGCTAACTGGTCGTTCCGGGGGCAACAAGCAGGGTGGGGGACAAAACAACAACCCTGTGGACTATACCAGTTATCCAGTGCAGGTAGACCTACCTGGCGGGGCAGAGAGCGACTTGACCCAGGCTCCAAGGGGTCTGTCAGACCTAGAAATTGGTATGTACGCCCTGCTTGGAGTCTTTTGCCTTGCTATCCTTGTCTTTCTTATCAACTGTGTCAGTTTCGCTTTCCGCTACCGCCACAAACAGCTTCCTGTTCTGGAGCAGGGCAACATGAACCACGCCCATGATTGGGTGTGGCTAGGCAACGAGGCAGACCTGATGGATCATCATGGCGACCACGGGCCGCTGGCACACAACGACGAGTGCACGACTGCAATAGATCGCAACGAGGGGTGCGAGGAGAGCAAGTACCTCCTCAACGGGAGCGCCATTCAGAAAAGCGGATCTTCGCATGGTCGCAGCATCCCCCATGTGCACTCCGATCCACGGTCCTGTTCGGGAAATGACCCCAGCGGAAAAATCGAACCCCTTAACAACTCTCCTAGCGCTGCCAAGCGCAAAAGGGTCAAGTTTACTTCCTTTGCCACCGTACTACCAGACGAAGGTGGGCCATACACCAACTCCATCCTTATTGGGAACGAAGATGACATCAAGTGGGTTTGTCAAGACATAGACCTGGGACAGTCAGCTGAGCTTAGAAGCTACATGGAGAGACTGCAAGACAATCTGTAGAGGCTAGGAAGAGAATGAAAGTAAGGGAAAGCGAGAGGGCGGACACACAAAAACTCACCAGAAATGCCTTTGCACTGTGGGGGGAAAGCAGAGAGAGAGAGAGAGGAGAAGAGAGATGAATTATTAAAGAATCGAAAGTGGATGTAAGTAGGGAGTAGGAAGGAATAAAATCCATTGGGAGCCTCGAGTTAAGTACGAAATTCACAGAAAGGGGAAACGGGTGAAGAGAGACTGGCACATTCACACTGGCTCCTACGATCGGTCCAGGTGGCGGAGAGAGAGCAGCTGCCAATTGGTTTGCACAGGGACAGAATGCCAGTTACCGACACCCTAAATAAACAAGCCCAAACAAGACCAGCGTGAAAAAGAAAGGAAACAAACTTGACAGCTGTACAGAAAATCACAGTCCGTGAAAGTCAATGAACGTGGGTTGTTATGGCTAATGTAATTTAGTTTTTATTTATTTATTTAGATTCAAATTCATAGGATTGTGGACAGATACAACAGATCTTATTTTTTGAGATAATCCCAGGCTTTTTCCAGATTAGTATGTAACTAGACCAAAACAGGCCCTCAAAGCACCCAGTCTGCCCCAGATCCAGGTGTGTGTTTGTTTTTTAACGCTTATTTTGTACCGTCTGTCCCTCCTGTGTGAATACCGAGGCGTTGGCCATGGACATGTGGGATTCCCCCTGGCTGGAATCTGTACCAGCTATATCTGCACACACACTGTTTAAGGAGTCGGTGAAAAACACCAAAACACCACAGTCCTCCCTCTCCATCTCTCCTCTGGGAGAAAAATACAAGACATAGATGATGAAAGCAACATGGGAATAAAGACTCCTCATGCACTGTCCATTTGATCAAGTGAATGTGGCAAAAAGGACTTCTTTTGAGCCCCATCGGGAGGTTGTTCATTTGCACAATAAGAATAACACAGCAAGTGCATAGTGGCCCTCGGCTAATCTGAGGCTAGCCCATCTGACTGTCTATACAGCAACTAATCCAGAAGTACAACCTGACAGTTTGAAGATGCGATGATGAACATGGCACGGACTGTGTAGAAATGCAAGCCCACAAAATTGAGTTGTGTGTTATAAAACCATATGATTGCTGTGATAGAAAAATATACAGAGTAGATATGGTCTATTACTCTCCAGTATGGTAAATGTATGAATGTTTCTCTTTTTATTGAGGCGAAATGTACATCATTTGCCCCCTTTTTACATGGCCGGAGCACCTCCCCATGGTTTTTACATGTCCTATAGGTTTTAAAGCAACTTTCTATTTCTGCCTCACTAACCCCAGCATTTACCTTACGGCTCCTTGAATCATTGTTGTTTATATTACTGAAGAGTTGTAGGGAAGGACAGATGTGGAAACCTTCTTTTTGAAAGCTCAGGTGAAAATACGCTCACAGATGAACAGTGGTAGAACTGAAATGTAGATTGTAAGAATGCAATATTTATTTGTAAGTGTAATATGAGATAGGATGTAAATAAAATGATTAAAATTTCTCGTGGACACTGCAAGAAGGCTGTTGCCTACATTTTCTCAAAATCGACACACAGAAGAGTCATGGGGCCATTTGAGTGTTTCATATGTCCATATGAATAAAAATGAAAGGCTTTAAAATGTTTAGACATGTCATGGGTTCTGTCACAATGTCTGATTCCCCATTTGCACAGGGTTCAGTATTTTCATTTGATATCGATTTCTGTTTGTTTCAAAGGTGATTAGTAAGGGAGAGCAGAGCACATTGAATTCATTGTAAGTGTTAATTCTAATTTGATTGTGTGTGTGTGTGTGTGTGTGTGTTTGTGCGCGCGCGTGTTATTCTAGACACCAGGCCAAAAAAAACCCCTTAAATTGTGTGTAATTTTAAGGAAATAAATAAATGATTCATATGTTATTTGATTCTGACCCTAAAACTCTAAATTACATACACCATTTAAACTGGACTTTTACCTTAAATATTTGTGTTTGTTAATAAAACTGTATTATTACTATTATATATTTTTTATTGCTCCTGCACAGACCTTCCATGGCAAGGGTGAATACATTGAGCATTTATTGAGTGTTACATTTACTCTCCCCTATCAGAATTGCTCTTTGTCATAAGTGATGTGTGATTCCGTCTATTTGACATCCTTAAAGATACACTGAAATGCTTATTCATTTTGACAGTAGTTTAGTCCAGTGTTTGCATCCAGTTTAGATGTTTAGGATCTCCCAATATGTTTTAGATGTCTCTTTATTTAACACAGAAAGAAGAATTGAATCCGTTTTTTTTTTTTTTTAAATGAGACATTTAACAATATTCTGTTATGTGGGTCCCCAGGAAACACTGGTTTAAGGGACAGCAGTGTAAGTTTACATAAGTTTACAAAAATAACAAAACAACAAAAAAACCTTCATTCCAAAAGCTACAAGCTAATCCCTTTCCCCACTAAAACATTCATACCCCATTTTATTGAGTTGAAGTGACAGGATATCTTGTTTTCCAGGTTTCCTCATGGGATTGGTCTGACTTTTACTGTATGAAGTTTCATTTCATTCTGGCCTTGAGTCTCAATATAGCGGAGCGACTGTTTTCCTATTATGCTGCTTAGTTTAAGCACTATCCAGTTTATTGTCAGTTGTGACTGTAAATTATAGAGAAACCATATAATAGAATGTGAGAGAGAGATGTTGAGCTCATGTGTTTGCCAAGGCCACCGTTGACACCTCTTCAACCAGAATAATATACTGAATTGTAACAATAACGCTCTTCGTTCACCATCCACACAAGGCCTTAGATGCAGCGTCCATGTCTAATGACTCAAGATGGAGAATATTCACCTTTTTTCCATATTCATCCACTTAGTGATATTCTGATGTGTTTTTAGATAATCTATTCCTAAATACTCGTTCAGTATTCATTTTTTTTTTCATAAACCATGTTATATTCTGATATATACGAATACCTGTTTTCACATACACATACATTTGTCTGATAAAGCAAGTTCGTGTTCATGTATACAAAAATCTATATTTTCATATAACTACGTTTTAAAGACACCATGATTTTGTACAAACATACAGATGCAGAAAGGATGAAATTACACTTGAAATTCCCTACGCTTTCATTTTACGGAAGTACCAACATCCGTTAACTTCCCTTTGCTGGTATTTGTTCAGTAATACCCTCATTGTGTAAATGCTTTGTCATTAAAGTTGTTGCCTACTGACATGGGATTTTTGTTTTTTTCATTTTCCTTTTATTCCTAAATGTAATCCTTGTCAGATCGTATTGTTTACGGAACTTTTGAACACCTGATTAGCACTACAAATACATGAATGTATCTATCCTTTGCTCACTTTATAGGCTTATGCAACGCACTTATGTATAGTCTCTGTAATTAACGCACTTATGTATAGTCTGTGATTCTGATCTATTTTATTTTTCAGTGCAAGGAGAGCAGCTTTGATGTACACCAATGACTAAATTTTTGGACAACACATACCAGACATTCTATTAGCCCCAGTAAAAGCATCAGCACAAGGTAAAGTTTGTGTGCAGTAACTGTTGGTGAGATGTACACCGCTGTACACATTTCATTTGGACTGCTTCAACAAAAGATTGCACAAAAATACTCTGTAATGAACCCCACTATCTTCCACTTGGACTTCAAAGTAATTTTTTTGAATTTGGACCCATTTTTCCCCTCTCAGAAAAGATGGAACAGTCATTATGCTGCTGTTTCAGAGGCGGAGAGAAAAGGTAACAGGCTGCATTATCATTGTTTTATCAAATAGGTGTCATTAATTTAGTCAAGGGGGCTTTCACAGAATATTACATTGTTTTGGGTTCTTAAAATTGTTGTTTACTGTCACTGACATATGTTATAGACCATACATATACAAATATAATTATATAATATAAATGAGAAATGATTAAATTACATTATAATAATAAATTATTATTTATAATAATTGATAGGCTTTTAAATAATGCCATTTTCATACAAGATCATTTGTTTCTTTAGGGTCTAAATGAAAAGTTTGTATATACTCGAATTAAAAGTTCTCATTAGTATTGTAAGAAAACACTAATTTTACCTGGTCAAAAACAGCTGTTTTCAGCACGCCATTTCAGTGCATATGCCTTTATATGATAATGAGCTTCGCTCACTTCGCCCCTCTGTTCTTTGGAAGTTTAGACACAACGCACGTGGAGTGTTGCCTTGACAACAGTTGTGGGTATATTTTGGAGAGACAAGAATTGATTTTTATCATTATATGATGGTTGTGTACAGGCACTTCCAACACACATTTCAGTACAGTCAACTGGTATGATCCCAAATATGATCCCTTTAAGAACTATATCGAAATTAGAATTGGGATTCAAAATATCACATTTGTGTATATTGGAATAAATAGAAAAGAAAGCCTCTCTTGTTTGCCTGAGAGTCTGGCTTGGAATCACTGGCTCTGTAAAGATTGAAAACCCCTGTTTTAATCAATTGGGCCATCCTGTTCTTTTAAAGAGCTTTCTAAGTGATTCAAAATGGAAAATTAGCTTACCCTTACACATCTCTTTTTCCTTTTAAATCGTCTCATTTTCTAGTGACATAAAACAGATGGCTTAGTTTTTCTTGCTCTCTCAGCCACTCGTCTTTTTCCCTCCCTTCCCTAAACAAATTCTATTCCAATTTAGTGGCTTCCATTAACATGTGTTTCTGCACAGGGCAGTGATTTACTGCTGGTATCAAATACATATTGCCAACCAAGTGAGACATGCAACCTTTCATTTTCACGCCGTTGCGTTACAAATTCGACATGCTACATTAACAAGAAAAATGGCTGTGCTTGGCAAAGCCAATGGGAAGTGGCCTGTGTCTTTAGATGGCATTTCTTTCATTCCACTTTCATTACTGTGTGCTGTCACTGTTGTGCTTTAAGTTGTAAGAGTGTGAGTGTTTGTGAGTCATCACAAATGTCATGTGTGTATGTGAGAAAGGCATAAATGTGGCCCTGCTGAAGTGAAACAGACCAAGTGGTCCCAAGTTTAACAAGGACCTTACCTGTGAATGACCACACTTGAGCTTTTGCCTATAAATGATGCTTCACGGAATATTAAAGTAATACATTTCAATGAGGGGAAAGAAATTGCCCATAGCTTTACTCTCTGAAATGAATGCACTTTAAGGATTTGTCAAGTGATTGTGGTTCATGACCCAGGTTTCTTATTGGACATCAAGTACCAACATTATCATACTACAGTAAACAAAAATTTTGCAAAAAAAAAAAAAAAAAAAAAAAATCACACAACATAGATAGATAGCTATTCAAACATGCATTAATTTATAGATTATTTACATATTTCTCTTTGCATTTTGCAGTTTTTTCCCTGCTTTATTCAACCCTATTGAAATAATAATACCCTATTGACCCATTTTGTATGTTTTGTGTGTGTACTTTGAACAATGTTGTTTCCCAGAACATCAGCTTGATCATTTGCCATAGTGATGTAAAAACGGGTACACTGAAGTAATGCACTTTTAAAATTAAAACACAATATCTGAGTTACTTTTTCAAATATGTAAAGCAAGAATTTTTGACACCTGACACTGACACATTTTCTGTCCCTATTTTGAGAGAAATCGGGAGTGCAGAGGCGTTGGGAGAACGGGAGAAACGGCGTTTTAGGTTCTCTTTTAGGTTCTCTCTTGTCGATTCTGAGGATTCTGATTGGCTTGCATGGCTTTATCCTTAACCCCTACACTGCCGCCGATAGGTTTGGCATAGTTATGATGGCGCTCGACGGCGTATTTATGCGGGTGTGTGAACGATGTTATTTTTGAAAATAGAGAGGGGGAAAATATTCATTTGCTAAATACCCGACTTTGTGTAAACGTGGCCTGAGGGGCAATGGCTCAAGTGAAAAAAGGGCACTTCTACGCTTCTTTTTACTTTTTTTTTAAAACAAAAAGTATAAACACAACTTATGAAAAATTAATTTTATCTTCCTCAAACTCACGCAATTGTTTCATTTTCAAAAGATATCTTCGAAATAATCAGTTCACACAGAAACCATGTCTCCTTAGTATTCTACCATGTGCAATGTTTTCTATGCCGCTAGTTTCAATCAAGTATTTGATACACCTGATGGTGACATGGACTTGTTTCACATTTGAGGGAGGACTGTATCATCATCACCATCATCATCAAATAAAACCTTCAAAATGCACATTTAGATGGAGTTTATTTAAAACCTACTATCTCGCATCTGTTTGCTTCTGTAGATTTCTTCTAAATTCATCAGTTTAGATTTCTAAATTTCAGGGGGAAAGACTCTTGGTACGTAAGTCAATAACTTGAATACTATACGAATTTTAGGCCATAAAAAGTCATAAAAACGTCCGGATTTTCCATACAAGGTCACACATTCAGAATCAGCGTCTTAAATTGATTGGCTATTGGATGCTCATTCATTCATTATCGCAATATATTTTTTCTCGATAAAACGATATCAATATCGTCAATACTCAATATCAATATCAATATCGAGTTCGATAAATGTTCGATAATGTTTATGTGCCAAAAGCGGAACGAAACTCATTTGAACTGCGCGCGCCTCACGGACTGTTTAATCCGCTCGGCTCAAAGTTCAAACAGCAGCGCCGCGCGAGCTCACTAGAGCAGACGCGTTTACTCCCTTTTTTAAAGTCTATGCTTTACTCTTATTGGCGTTTCAGAACGGCGTTTTGGTTTGTAATCATAGGGGAACCACTTTGAGTGCCATATAGCACTTATCTTTGTCATATGGTGCTATGTAGAACCACGTTAATCACCATAGAGAACCACTGAAGAACCGC